ACCATGAAAGCTGGCTGATGGACTTTAGGCCAATCATTCTCTCTCAGACAAACCTAAACCACAGAGTGTTACTCTGGGAAAAATAAGACAAAAGAGTATTATGTATTTTCTCTATCTTGAGTTACTTATGAAGTAATAAAGGTGGGTTATATAAACAAAGTAGCAATGTCTGCTTTGATGGATTTATTTATTTATGAGATTTGTCTGTTACCTGAAACCAAACTGGCAATACTCCAGGAAGTATTGTTGGTAGTGCAAAATAATGGTACTTTCCAAGGATGAAGTGGGTATTATTACTGTTTTCTAATCTATCTTGATTTTAGCAAGGCAGTGCTTACACTCCAGGATACATTAAATGTACAAAACACTCCTTGACTGCTATCACTCTGTTTGTAATGAACATATTCAACCTATAATGAAAAACCACTTAAAAGGCAAAGATTTCTTACTGGGAACAAATCAAACACCTATTATTTTCTGTGCTGCTGCCTGATACAGTATTTATCAATGTTTGTGCATTATACATTAAAGAATGTATCTTTAGAAGAATCACAGAGAAATTCAGTAGAATTCTAGACTTTATGAGCAGGGTACATGAGGACATTTAAACAAATGCTTAAGTTGAATACAATGCTCAAATTGGATACACTGCCAGACACTGATGTAAAACTAACTCTCTCCCCTCAAAAAATCTAAGATTGACTTTCTCGCAATTGAACTGATCTAAACTAAAAATATGAGGAGAGGAATTTATCAACTATTTTTAAACAGGGATAATCCTATAATGTCACATGCTCATGGGAAATTGGTCAAAATTGAAGCTATAGCCAAATATTTTCCATTTATAGCTTTGAGATTTAGTGCATATATTGAAATTGATCCCACACCAACAAGGATCTCAAAACTTCCCAGGATTCAATGGGGCAAATACCAACTACTTAAGATGAGCTAAAGAGCTATGTGTTGAAAACTTTAGCCAATGACTAAAGCTAGCGTTCAATTCATTTATTTAATACTAAGCCATGTCACCAAACCTTTATTTGCAGTGTTGCAACAAGTGAATCCTATGGTATACTTAACCAATCTCAAAGTATGTAAACTTAGAGGGCCTTTACTCTGGCATTGTCAGGCACAACTTACTAGGAGCACTTATTGAGTTCAAATCATAGAATTGATTATTGTTGCCTGCATACAAACAAGAATCTGAGCAACAGTTCAACCTAAATTGATGCTAGATAAGGATCAGAGGAATTCACAGGGGGCTGGACTTGGATCTCTTATAACTGTGCAACGATTCCAAACTATTGACACATTTAACCCCGCCTTTCAGCTCACCCTGCTCATCTCCTACAGGCATGATGTCATGCTGTCCTCTCATCTGTCCTTGAATACCGATAGAGGAAGATAACTCTACATGGAGAGACAATGTCCCTGTCACTCTGGACACAAAGAAACAATAGAGCACCCAGTAAGACTCCAGTGCCTGTATTATAATAATATTTGTATTAGCCTCATCTCAGCATTATTGCATAAATAACTAGTGGATAAGACAATTCTATACCACCCTGCTATACTCAGATACCAAACCTACTACTGTACAACCTATAATGTTGCCAGTTTTGTACAGCAGCACTTAGAATCTGTCCAATGACCTGTGCCATACACTAATTTTAATGGGCATTAGGTCATCAATCTATAGTTCTCGTATTGTGATAGTTTGCATATATACTACCTTTATGTTACCCTACATCCATTTAATGCTCCTGTTTCTCCTCTTAGATTCCTTTTAGACTTTTATTTTCAAATAGATCCTTCTATTTTATACCTTGTAGCATTTTATAATAATTATTTTTTTGGTTCTGATTTATTTTTATGCTTTTTTAAATTGACTGTATCCTATCCTCCTTAAGCTGGACTTTGACCATAATAAAGGTTTTATTTTTTTTAATATAACTTAATAAATAAAAGACCTTTCAAAATATTAATCAGCTTTGGAATTCATTTGATTTTGATCACATTTTTATTATCACAAATATTAGGAATTCTGTCTCCTAGTTTGATTTGTATCGAGGAGGGATTTGAAACTGAGAATTTATCAACTGGGAATTCTTACACCAAAATAAATAAAGGCATTTATTTTATACTTGTATATGTTATTACTACAACATATCACATCAGATTTACTCCAAAATTATATAAAGAAAATTAATGTAATCAAATCACTTTATGAATAGCCATTGTAGTCTATTTCTAATTGCCTTGGGGCCAGATGGCTGACAAATAAATTTAATAAGTAAATACATCTCTAAAAAGAAGAATCTTCCTCCTTCCACCTATAATTTTATTAATATTAGCATCTTTTCTAATTGTAAAGATAGGCAGGCAGACAGACAGGAAGGAAGCTTTGTGTGTACTTTTGTCAAATTGCAGTTCTTTCCATCTTTGATGATATTTTCCTCCCACTCCCAACCCTTCTGCCTTTCAAGCTTGCAGGGCCAGCTATTTGTAACAGATGGGGCCATCATCTCTGCTTCAGAAAAAGCAGAGCAAAGAATAATGGAAAGAACTCTCTAACCTGAAAGCATCTCTCAAATCAGATTTTAGTTAGTTAATTAGCACTTCTGGGCACTGAAGCACTTCTGGGCATTGAAGCAGCAAAAGTAAAAGACAGAGATATCCAATCAGTACCTGATGTACACACCTTTTTTTCAGACCTTGGACAGTACATGACAACATTCCACACGCAAGAACGAATTGAACAGGACTGTGTACAGCACACAAACCTGCTTTACCCTATTAGAAATAGCAAATTCAGGTGATGAATCACTGTCATAAAGAACCGGTCCTGTCATTCCATTGTGGAGTAGTTGATTCAACTCCATGAATTTCCCTAGGCATTCATAACATCTCAGGATGATCTAGAGAGCCTCTCTGTTTATAGTGTCAAATGCCTTTGTCAGTTCAATGAAGCTTATTCTGTTCCATGTCCTTTGCCTGGACTTGCCTTATGGCAAATAACTATATCTGCTGTATTCCATTCTGGCCGAAAGTCACACTGCGTCTCCAAGAGTTCCTTTCTCAGACAGTGACAAGCCTGTTCAGGAGAATGTGGGCGAAGATTTGCCTATAATGGACAGCAATGAGATACCTCTGTAGTTTATGCAATCTGATTTGCCCCCCCCCTTTTTTTTTTTTACTGAGAGCCACAATGAGGGTATCATGGAAGCCATCCAGCATCTCCCCTGTCAACCAAATGTCTTCCAAGATGCCTTGGAAAGCCTTCAGTTGGGTCTAGTGCATTGTTGATCTCAAAAGGAACACCATCCTATCCTGTTGCTTTGAGCTCATCTGTGTTATCATTTTCTTGATATAATGAGTAGAGGGAGCCAAGTAACCCTTTTGTGAGAATTCCACATCTATCTATTGATCATTGACCTCCAAAGTTGGGAGTCCCTGTCTTATCAATAACATCTGCATTTAAAACAAATTTACATGGTAACATTTGCTTAGAAATTTAGTCCTGCTTATGTAACTTAGTTATATTTCATACGAATGTCTTTTGTTTTGTTTAATGCTTGTTTTTCCTGTGCTTTCATGGCAAGCAATTTTTCATAAATCATACTTGGGCTTTTTTCTTGTGCCCTAAATGTTTTGCAATTCTAGCATATTGCAGTCGATATAGTTACATTTAGAGATGACCAGTGCAGCAGTATCATATTGTTAAAATGTCTGCCAGAAACCTAATCAAAACAAGACAATTGCATTACATTAACTACATGAGAATAATGGCTAGAGCTGAAGTGAATTTTTTTTCTCCTTATATTGTATGACATGTTTGATAAAAATTGCCTCAATGTTTCTAGAACTCATCTGATTTTTTTTATTTCCTTAGAACATTATGATACTCCCACCTATTAAAATTAATTTCTTTTAACATGTTATAGTAAGGAAAAGAGAGTGATTCAAGTGGTACAGTTAACCAAATATTTATTTTTTACAAGAAGATGGAATTTTTTAAATAAACAAACTACAACTGAATATGGCCCAATGTTTTTTAATCTTATTATTTAGCCCACAAGTTAGATTTAAATTAATATCTTTCTTGCAGATTTACAGAAGTTTTAGTAGTCTGACTTAATAATTCAGGGATAGGAGCAAATTAGTTGTATCCACTGAGGTATTCTGTTGAAATGGTTCTCCAGAGAGGGATATAAACAACGTCATTAATTTTTCTCTTTTCTTGCTTACTGTTCCATTAAACCGAAGATCTTGTTTACAAACACAGGTGCCAAAAAGACATGGAACCCCAAGCAATTCATGGAAAGGTATAGGAGTTTGAATATTGCCAAGACCAATTTGTGAATAATGTACAAATTAGTAGCAACTTGTGGTGCTGAGTTGGTGTCGATATTTGCATGACTGCTGAATGTGTGAAGTGAAACAAAGTTGTTTCTTTTCCCCTTTTCCTCTAACTCTGTTGTTTCCTATAACCAGAAATTATTCCCCATGATCAGATAAGTTCTGTCTTTTCAACTTCAGAAAACTACATTGTGAAAAAAGTTACATTTTGTTGTGTTTTCAGAGCTGAGTGTTTGATTTAAAAATGTGTGACACTTATGATATTTATCACTAGCCATTATATACAAAGTGCAGTCACCATTTTGATCTATCCTTTGAATTGAAGATCTCACAGCTGAAATTCTTGCCCAGTTATTTGGACCTCCTTCTCAATTTCCTACTTTTTTGTACCTCTGTTTTATCTGCCTAATCACACAGGTTTTCTGGACATGGGTTGCCATGTTTATGTTTTGTTACCGCAGTTCACTGCGTATGTTTCACACAATATCTTTCTTATTTATTAATTAAATTTACGTGCCACACATTTGTCCGCTGATGGTATTCTAAACTTTGAGGATATTGACCAATAGTTATTTCTACATCCTATAAGAAAAGACAGAGAAGACCTAAGCATGTCTGAAAGAGTCTCCTTCAATTTGCAGATGGTCCCTATTCCAGCTGGAGTGTTTACAATGGGAACTGACGAGCCCATTATAAAACAAGATGGAGAAGGGCCTGGAAGGAGAGTCCACATTGGTCATTTCTTCATGGATCGCTATGAAGTCAGCAATGCAGAGTTTGAGAAGTTTGTGAATGCTACAGGCTATGTTACAGAGGTAAGGGAAAGAAGTTAGTGTTTTTGCAAAGCAGTCTTGTTTGTGTCCAAATGGAGCTTGAGAATTGAAGATAAACTTTTGCTATATCAGAGGAATATCTGTCTTCTCATGTATCTGGTTGGCCTGGGGAAAAAAGAAGATAATTCCTCCACAAAAATTCCCCAATGGTATATAATTGGAAAAAATCTTGGGTAGCTTTGGACATACCAGTAAAACCTAGCAGTGCCAGTAATTTACTTGGTATTGTCAATACATTAGAGGGATTTGGTCTTTTCAGAATGCTAAAACTAATTCCCTGGATATTTATCTCTTATAACAATTACTGTAATTGTAGAATAAGAAAGGAGCCTGCCACAAACAGGTCCCAGAAGCTCTTCATTTGGAGTCTGCACCTCCTAAAGATGAACTGTTTTGGTGTACAAAGGAAAGGGAATAAACCACACGAAGGAAAGGGAATAAATCACATAGAGACACCCACATGATTTCCTGAAAGTTGACCTGTTAGGGTTGAATATAGTGTTTCTGGAGAGAAAATTTAAAATCTGCACAGAAGAAAAATACTTTTACCTCACCCAACAAAAGAGAGGACAATAAAGGGAGCCTTAATTGATTATTGGTAGCAGCATCTTAGAGGAGCTTATTGAAAATTGGACCAACCTGTAAAGCAGGAGGTACAAGTTCATGCACCACTATTGCTTGTTATAAGACAGTAACAGATAAATGTTGGACGCATCAGAAAGGATACCCACCTTCAACAGTTTACATTCCTATTCTAAAACTATCATTATAGAACTATAAGAGAAATCATAGCCTGGAAAACTGCTCATAGTGTATATGATAGATGACAATTTGGTTCAGATTCAGGATACAGTGTCAATCCAAGATGATAGAAGATTTCAGCAAATTTTCTGTGTGGTCCAAACATATGTTTTGGTCCATTTATCCCACAATTCGCCTCCTTTATCCAGGGCCAATAGTTAGTGACATGTCTTATAGTCTTAGTAAGGACTACATAACTTTGCCAGAAAAGTAGCATATGGAAAGGTTTTACTAGTGTCGGTCAGGATGTTCCTTTTTTTCTCATTCAGTCAGCACTGCAAGGTTGTTGCTTAATGATCTGCCTTCTCCAGTGCATATTCCTCTGGATGACTCTTGATCTATAGAGAGTGCTCTCATTAACTATAATGTTTTTAGGTGTAATTGGAGATGTCCGTGGGTGATGCAACCCATAAGTCTTCCATCAGAAGACTGAAAGAGCTATTAAAAAAGCACTTGTAAGCATGCCTTTTTGGTAAGCTTTCTATTTAGTGGATCTTTAGCAATAGCAATAGCACTTAGACTTCTGTATACTTCATAGTGCTTTACCCCACCCTCTGAATGGTTTACAATGTCAGCATATTGCCCTCAGTAATCTGGGTCCTCATTTTACCAACTTTGGAAGAATGGCTGAACCAACTTGGCCAGTCATGATTGAACTCCTGGGTGTGAGCAGAGTTAGCCTGCAGTATGGTATTCTAACCACTGTGACATTAGGGCTACTTTAATTTGCCCAGTTATAAGAGTTTTATAGACATATTACAAAGGGATTTAAAATTTTAAAAACAATAAAACAAAATATTTATACTTTCTTTTATAATATTTGCAGACCCCCTATTTGTAGTGAACTGTAGGTTGGGAACAACAAATCATGTGCAAAAACCAAAGTAAAAAACAATATTACTAAAATCCAATAATAATTACTATAGATATCATTAAAGTGAAACTAATATCTTCTGAGGGTCGGACACACACTGGAATAAAGCTGATTCAGCTTGCTTACAAAATTTTAGCTGAATCAGGACTATCTATATTTCTGGAAGAAGGGTATTCCATAAAATGGTGATCAGCACTGAAAAGGCCCACTGCCGGTTTATGGGGAACTACAAAAGCTCTCTTGATCACCAAGTTAGTTGCCATCAGTAGTAGAGGTTCAATTTTGGCAGTGTGTTGCATACTATGGATCCCAAAGCTCAGCCATACAGAACCTTAATGATAATAACCAATACATTTAATTAAGCCTAGGAACCTACAGGAAGCCAATGTAGCACTTTTAAGAGTTATCCTACCTTGTTGAGGTTGTCCCATCACTAGTTTAGTTGCTGCATTTTGAATTCACTCCACACATAGTACAACAGGATTACTATCACCAGAACATATTGGTCCCAATAGATCAGTACATCCTTTGGTGCTAAGGAAAAGCCAAGTTTTCATCTGCTGTTGAAGTAGGAACTGAGAATTCAGGAGAACCCCAGTCACAAACCAACTCCTTCGGGGGAACCAATGTTATTAAGTTGCCTTGATGTCTCCTAACAGTTAGCAGTTCTGATTTCGTGTGATTTAAACTGGGCTTGTTTTAGTCCGTTCATATTCTCACAGTTTCCATCTAGCAGTAAAAAAATCCAGACCCCTATTGTTTATTAAAACATTAATGAAGAAGAAAAACTAGAGTACAAAACTAAAGAGCCTAGGAAAGGATATGAAAATAAAGATCAGCGTGCATATCTCCAAAGCACTTGAGGGCAGGACAAGAAACAATGAATGGAAACTAATCAAGGAGAGAAGCAACCTAGAACTAAGAAACAATTTCCTGTCAGTTAGAAGAATTGATCAGTGGAACAACTTGCCTCCAGAAGTTGTGAACGCTCCAACACTGGAAGTTTTTCAGAAGAGATTGGATATCCATTTGTCTGAAATGATATAGGATTTCCTGCCTGAGCAGGGGCGTGGAGTAGAAGACCTGCAAAGTCCCTTCCAACTCTGTTATTCTATTCTATATAATGTGACCTCTTAAAGTCAAAATTAATTAGGGACCAAGTTCTAGAATGAGTTAGATAAATGCAAATGTGTAATTGCAGCATTGTTATAGTTCAGCAATATGGCATTCAGCTTTGCTACTCTGTGACAAATCACTCTTCCAATCTGTCTCTTAAGATGTTACCAAATGCTGTCCCGCAGTATTTTCAGCAGTCAGGAGGAATCAGCAGAGAATGAAGATTCTCAGGAGGCAGAATCCTGAAGCAAATGCCAAACCCTATTTTACATTATTTCAGTGATGATGTTGAAATATGATGGGATACTTTGTCTGACATCCCAAACCAGCGTGCTGGAATGGGAACTAAATTTATACACCCCTGGAAGGCAAAATCATGGGAAATGTTGACATTTAAAATATGTATCGGCCATAAATAGTTACAATATTGATTCACCTGCCACCAATATTTAATAACAAAGATTGTCCCAAATGGTTGGTTTTTTTTAGAACTTAGAATTATGCTGACTGCTGTTAAATTATTTGGAGAGTATACTGAAGTAAAAAGGGGTTTCTAAAGTGTACTTAATTTTTAAGAAGCTTTTGTAAATATTTTTTAAAAGTGGGCTTGGTTTTGGTGATCAGTAGTAATCAGCGCCTGATACAATTATAGCTAAAGAAATTTAGTTACGCTAACATGTGCCGCTATATTTTATATTGGAGAAACTCCTGGGTAAATTTCTTAAGTTTCAGCTCAGGAATGTCTTGGTTTGTGCATCCCATCATAAGCACTGTTTTGCTTAGGCTTAGCATGTTTATAATGTATTCAGCTGAGAAATACACTGCTATGTACTTTTCAGAACAGAAAAGATCTCAGTAAACCTGCAAGGATTATGTGCAGTTATCTTTGAAATAGTATAATTGCGGTTAATTCAGAATTCCTAATTTTGGTACATTGAATATCTTTCTATGTTGCCACAGAGATAGACACTTCAAAATAGTATTGCCAGACAAAAAGTAGGCAGTTCCAGAGAAGTGGATAAACTTTTATAGCAATCTTAAAATACTACTGCTTTCTAGCAACGTGAAAGACATTGAGTATGTTTATTTCAAATGTATGTGCTTATTATCTCTCAGTTCCCTGCATCTTCTGCTGTTGCAGTATATGGATAGAACAGATTTAAGAGTCAGTTGCTGACTTGCAGGTCAAACTTTTTTTGTTTTTACCAGTGGGAAAAAACCAACTCCTGAAATTATCTATATTTTTTATTAGTTCACAATAAATATATGACAACTTGAAAACACAGGACACATTTTGTATATCTAAATTTGAAAAATCACAGTTTATGTCGCCACTAAAGACATACTTCTAAAAACAATTCTGAGGTTACTTTTAAAAGGAAATTGATGAGAAAAGGGAGTTTGAGTAAGAAAGAGGTGATTAGCACTGGTGGTGGGGTGGATAGAATGCAGAATTGCAGGCAAATTCTGTGTACAGCTTGGAGTTTGATCCTGATGAGGCTCAAGGTTGACTCACCCATCCATCCTTTCGAGGTTGGTAAAATGAGGACCCAGATTATTGGGGGCAATATGCTGACTCTGTAAACTGCCCAGAAAGCACTATGGGGCAGTATGTAAGCCTAAGAGCTATTGCCATTGCTAGTAATCTTCCCTTCCACCATCACCAATAATGAAATAACACACACAGATACACAGAAACATATCACAAGTAATTAAAAGTAATAGCAATTAAGCTGTTTTTGCATACATTTGACTGCTTTGTCATTTCAAAATGTGGTAGATGATCTACACTTTATTCCACCGTTAATATACTTTTTCACTTCAATCTCCTTTGATATTTATCTTGGTGGAAATTTTGAGTAGAATTCCAAACAGAACAAAAAAATGTTTTATGTTCTGTACACTGCCTTCCTCCCTAAAACTGATATAATCTCAGCAGCCTACTTTTCTAGGACAAAAGGATGGGGATGGATACTATTAGTTTTGGTAACCTAATAATAAGCAGAATTACTTACAGAGATGATTGCAAGAAATAATGTAGGCATTGGAGTTCAAAATTAAGTGATAAAAAAGCGAGAAGCAAATATGGAGTTGACATGATATAAATATATACACATCAGTAGGTTTTCAAATCCCATTTTAGTGAAAAGCTGATTGTTTCCCATTCAGCCTCACTTCCCAAGTTATGCCAGCATGAATGATTAAATAATAAATCTGTTAATAGATAAGTAAAATGCATATATTTTATAGGTTTTTGTTCTTAGAATTTTATCTAGTTACTAGAAATGTTTATAGCAATAGCAATAGCAGTTAGACTTATATACCGCTTCATAGGGCTTTCAGCCCTCTCTAAGCGGTTTACAGAGTCAGCATATCGCCCCCACAGTCTGGGTCCTCATTTCACCCACCTCGGAAGGATGGAAGGCTGAGTTAACCTTGAGCCGGTGAGATTAGAATCGCTGAACTGCAGATAACAGTCAGCTGTAGTGGCCTTCAGTACTGCACCCTAACCACTGCGCCACCTCGGCTCTTTTTTTATAGACCTTCTAACAGCCACTTTGTGTTTCTGTTTTAGGACTTTATATTTTAACTCATTAAAGAGCAATGTCTGTGAATAATGTAATATTCTTATCCCAAGGCAATCTGTTGTAAAATTATAACCATTGTTTTTCAAGGTTGGAAGTGAAAGAAAGTTTACTATTTGAAGGGTATTGAGTTGGGAAATAATGTGTGTTGTTTTCTTTTAGAGTAACAGTAAATTGCTATTGTGAAGATAATTGCTACTTAATTATCTGATTTGATTTTTCCTTCCTCCCTCCCTTCCTTCCTCAGGCAGAAAGATTTGGTGATTCCTTTGTATTTGAAGGCATGTTGAGTAAAAAAGTAAAGAATGGAATTCAGCAAGCTGTAAGTTGTATTTATTAATATGTTTTGTACCTATTACAGTGATTCAGAGTTGGAAACAAACTATTGTAACCACAATAATATATTTGGTTTTAAAAAGCCATAACTACGCTGTGTGAGACTTGCAGTAGTAAGCTTTTGACTAATTTTGAGGACAGTGTTAGTATTGTGAAATTGTGAGTTCTAAGATACTAATGTAAAACCTCAGAAGTAAACAGGGTGACTTTCTGTCCTTTTTTGGCATGTTGTGATGGCCCATGTCATCTGCAATCACTGCAAAGCTGTACTCTTCCTTATAAACAGCAAGTGTTGTCATCTTTGTTTGACAGTCTTACAGACTGAATGTTCAGAGGTCATAGGTATGTGTGCCCACAGAAGCAGTGCTAGTTTAAATCCAAATATGTGCAGTTAGAACAAGGCCTGCTTTGAGGACAGAGTCTATTCTATATATTCATTTTGATTCCTCCCTTTTTCTCCTTATCCAGCCTTAAACCTGCTATGTTTAATTGTAATAATTGCTTCCCAAATTATGGTGCTAATCAGCTGACAAATGGCTTGGAAAAAAACTCTCAAAAAAGCTTTCAAAGAACCCACATTTGAAAAGACATTGCAAGATTGGGTGAAACTTTGTGCTAATACGTAACTTGCTCAGAACAATGTATGTATGTATGTGCTGTATGTATGCATGCATACATACATATGCAAACAAGCATACATCTGGATTTTATTTTATTTCATTTAATTTTTTTGATTGTGTAAAACTTTTTTTCAGGACAGAGAGGGAGGGAGAGAGGGGGGGAGATAAAGAAGTGTTAAAACAGTTGTTTTCATAGTGTATTAAATACATATATATATATATATATATAT